ATGAGATGCCATCCATTAGTGATCAGTGTTTGCCATCTAATCCGTCAACAAGTTATACAAATGTCTTATCAACTGATCCACGAAGTCGCGCAATGCTTGACACGAATCACGCGATGACTGATCCGAACCAGACGTCACTGAGTGTGTCATCGATGGCATCGGAGCCCAAGAAATTGCCTAAAAAGCGAAAGTTTGCCACCGATTTAAGCCACGCTTTCATTAATGGCAATAATAACAATCAGAATACGAGTAACCAATTGAATGCCATCACGAAGTCGGCCAACCAGTTGGCGATCACCAGAAACGGGTCCAACAGTTACCCCGACAACGACTTAAGCGAGTGGATCGGACACAGAGTTTTGGCCAAAACGGAGAGGGGTTTGTACGAGAAGGGAGTGATCGACGACTGCCACCGCCGTAAGGGTATTGGAGTGCTGTTCGACCGCACGAATGGCGTCCAATACTACTCGAGTGGGTCCACGGATCTGGTGGCCGACTGTTGCCCATTGGCCGCGCAGATCACAGTGGGTATGGATGTGATCGCCAAATGCCTTAACGGCTTCATGAAGGGAACGGTAGCCGAGATATCGGTCGACAACAGTAACGGCAATAACAGCACCCAGAAGACGGTCTATCAGATCCGGTTCGGCGCCGACAACGCCTGCGAATGGGTCTCAAGACCTCATCTTCGTCTTCGAGTGCAGCCATGGAATGAAGACCAAGAAAATAAAAAGTATAAAAAGGGAGATATCATGACAACGAATGGGATCCGAAAGAAGTTTAATGGGAAGCGATGGCAACGACTCTGTGCTCAAAATGACTGTACAAATGAAGCAAAAAAACTTTTTTTCTGTTCGCGTCACCAGTCGATGAAATCCACGCCTCAACAGCACAATTCCTCTGCCATTGCGTACAACCAGTCGTCGGCCAAACTCTCGCCATTGAACCCAACGGTCCGACGATTGATGGGTTTGGAGGCGTCGCGCGAATCCAATCACATAATGAACTCAATGTCCGGTGAATCTCATCGTCCGCCTCAGTCCACAGCCAATCAGTCGAGCGGTCAGTTCGACACCACAGAGGCGGCCAATATGTTGATGTCTTTGAACCATTCGCCTAACGCGTTGACAATCGGGTCGGCCGGTGGACAGCATAACAGTGTCATCGTTCAGCACAACACGGATCAGGTGACTCTCTGGGAGGCATTGAAAGCACAACAGCCCGATATGGACCAAGACTTGCAAAGGTATGTCCACTCATGTGCTAATTGTGCGATTATGTAATCAATGATATTTGTTGAGGTATTTGTGTGCATTTTTTAATTACATTTTTTATTATCATAGGATTAGACGTCTAACAACTGTGTGTACAAAAGTTTGCGACTCAGACGACGATAATATTAATGATGTGAGCGATGAACCCAACGACGAACTTGCGGTCGAATTCAATGATTACAACGAAGACAATGAGATGAATGAATGCCAAACAAAAGCAATTAATAAAACAAAATACTATTCATTGACTGAAAAGATTCAAATCGTTAACATTGCGAATACTTGTTCGTCTTGGAATTCGGCTGCAAAAGCAATCAAAGACACAATTCCAGAGTGGACTCGACATCCAACTCATACAACAGTTCAAAGGATTTACGAATTGTGGTTAAATTCAGGTCTTTAACAATATTGTTGGAACGATACAGAGAAGATTAGCTAATCCTTAAATTTATCACAGGTGGTGTCAAATATCCTAAGAGGGTTTGTGAGAAACCGGCCACAAATAATGAGATCGCATCTGTTGTATTGGGAGAGTATGTGATACAACCCATTCAATCCCCAAGAATTGTTGCCTCAAAGTGTGGAATAAGTAAAAGTTCTGTGAAAACAATCCTCAAACAGAACAAACACTTACCATACAAAATGAAATGTGTCCAAGTTTTGCAAGGTATTTTAAAAACATTTCCAATATCTAAGGAACTGATATTCTAATTAACTTTTAGAACCAGATTTTAAAAAACGATTTGAATTTGCGCAATGGGGATTAGAGCAGACCCAAATTAACCCAAATTTTCTTACATCCATAATGATTTGCGATGAAAAATTGTTTCATCTCAATGGGTGCTTTAATCGACAAAACAATCGCTGGTATGCTGCCGAAAACCCTCATTGGATTGGTGCCAATAAGACAATGAGTGGACCCAGAGTAATGGTGTGGGCCGGAATATGTGGGGATCATATAATTGGTCCCTTCTATTTTGAGAACACAGTGAAGTCGTCTTCATTCCTAAAAATGATGAATGAAGAGGTTTGAAACTGATCCATATTTAGTTAATGCATTAATAAATTAAATATATTTAGGTTTTGCCCGTTCTTAAAGCGATGCCAAACTTTAATGACATGATTTTTACCCTGGACGGTATGAAATTATTTATACGGATTAGTTGGATATAATGAAGGCCTTAACATAATTGTTTATTAAATAGGTGCCAGTAGTCATTACGCCGTGGAAACAAGGCATTGGCTTAATATGCACTTCCCTATGAGATGGATTGGGAGAGGGAGTCCATTATGGAGCTGGCCTGCGCGCTCTCCAGACTTCAATTCACTCGATTTTTTTGTTTGGGGTTTCGTTGAAAGTATGTATAAGTTTATTACTTAACTTAAAATTATCTAAAGAACCGTAACTGATTTAATTTTAGATGAAGTTTATAAAGTGACGAACAAAGATATGGACGAATTGAAGCACTCAATCAAAAGAGCTTTTGATTTAATAACACCTGAAATGCTATCAAATACTCGCAAATCATTTGTTAATAGACTTAATCTTGCTATCGAAACAGGCGGCCGTCATGTTGAACACCTCAAGAATAAGAAATTTACAGAATAATTTCTAAACTGACCTATTTTTGTGTCGAATTTTTATTAGACATCGCACCCGCTTCTGGATCTAAAACAACTTAATATCAAATTTCGTTAACAGAGTTTTCGCAAAATTTTTATTTTTATGTTGTTTTGTATTTAAAAAACAGTGAATCAAATCAAATATGTTTTTATCAATCCATAAAACCATTCATTTGTTTTAGAAAAATATAATTTTTGTAAATATTATCGCAGTTTGAGCCTTAATATCAATTACCAATTACAATATTTTATTGGTACGGTATATAAAATACATGTGTAATTAAAATTTAATTCCTATGAATATTCATTAGTATCACTTCTCATTTGCCTGAATATTAAGAGTAAATAAAAATACAAATTAAATATAAATTCATTGACAATAACTATGCATTCAATCAATTCCTTAACTCAAACAATATTTCGACATAACTTATGGGAAATAAACCGATTCTTCCGTTAAGTATGCCATCAAACCAATTATTATCCATTCGTTTTTTAATTCAATCACATCTCCCTCTTTGAGAGACAATTTATCACTACTTATTGACTCAAAATCATATAACGCGCGACACTTTGGCTTCTCCTGTCTTAATGGTTGCTGTGATATGTTTTGCGATATATTCCTCAACTGATTCCCACTTTTCGTTGCAATGCTTCGACTTTTGGCGAAAATGTCATTAGTGTTGATTTTATGGTTGATATCACCGTTAAGTTTCATGAGACCCATCACACCGTTGTATTGTACGACCGCTTCGGTAGATTTGTTGACAGTCATCGCCCAAACATCAGTCACCAGATCGACGGCACTCTTCGGTTCAGTCCTTCCCTTCAATCTCGTCGTAAGACTTCTCAAGACATTCGCGCAGTTGTGGTAGTCGTAGAGGGCCTGCGAGAGAGCTGACAAGTGTTGCATCTGATCCTCTTCGGTGTCCAACAGGTTCTCCATCGCAAGTGACGCTAATTTATACGACTCGTTGTACTTATTCTCCGACGACTTCATATCAGTGTCCGCGACATGACATCCCTTAGACTTCTTGCGTTTCATGCAGTCGTAGTCGAGTCGCCGGCCCTCCAGTTTGCGCCGCGAAGCCATACACTCCCGATGGTCTGCGCTCTGCAAACGACAACGGATCCAAAAAGTTGTGTTTCACGTCGTCTTCGAGTGAGTACTTGATTTGTGTCAACTCTTTCAGTGTCTTTCCCACGTCTACCAAACTGACCGAAACGCGACGATTTCCCCAATTGGTTGCCGTATTTGGTCATAGAGTCGGCCAAATCGAGCTCCGGGTGCTCATACCTCTCCCGTTTGGTGCCCATTATCTTGTTATTGACCACAACTTTAGCCCTGAGGGCGGGGTTTGGGTGCAGACAATCCCGGGTTTTGGCGATCATGTGGTCGACCACCGCATCCGACAAATCAGTCTTTCGTTGCATTTCGAGGAACTTATCGGAAGGTCGGATTCGGATCAGTCATCGCGTGATTCGTGTCAAGCATTGCGCGACTTCGTGGATCAGTTGATAAGACATTTGTATAACTTGTTGACGGATTAGATGGCAAACACTGATCACTAATGGATGGCATCTCAT